TAAAAAATACTATTTTAATTTGACTTTGAGTGGTGGGCACACAATACAGTATACTGATCGTGTATCATAGAAATCTACACTTGAAACCTATGTGGTCTTGAACAATGTTACCCCAGTAAATTTAATAAAAAATAAAATGAAAAAAATACTATATTGAGAAGAGAATATTTGGAAGATGGACTTTGTTATTGAACACCAATGTAATTGGAAAAGATACATGTCTGAAGACATGGTTGGCTATGAATAAATTTGGAAGTCCACATTAATTTTTGGATTATAGCTGAAATTCCAATAAAATTTAGAAGCTTAAGTCTGCCTTTATAAGGAAGGCTTTTCTGTGCAGGTTTAGATGGTAATGGGGGTAGAAATAAGGCTTTATCCTAAGATCTTGTATATTAGGCAGTAGGAAGGAAGGTTAAGTTCATTCTCTTAGCAGCTGAATATAATGTTTCTTGGTTTGAAAGTCACTGTATTTATGATCAATATTCATACAGTCTTTCATTTAGCAAAAATATATTTCAAATAAATGGTTAGCTAAGCAAGAAAGATCCAGTCTTTGCCCTCTGAGTTTATGATCTAGTGATGGAGACAAACAAGTCATTACATAGGAATAGACATTTTAGGTAAAATCTGAAGGGTGGGTAGAAGTTGGTGGAAAGATGCAAAAGGTGAAGGCTTATGAGCTATCTCATGTGGAGTACCTGAAATGTAATTTAGTCTCCTGGAAGATCTTGGACTGTTAACTGGTCCATGCTATTATTGTGCAGTGGAATTAGATACTATATATTCTTTTTGTTAGAAACTCTGTTGCTTACTCACAAGAGAGCTTTGTGAGTTTCCTGGGGAAATCCTAGGAGTATAACTATGGCTTTTCAAGCAACTGAATGACCATGGTTCTAAAAAGTAATTAGTTAATGATGTTTCCATATGTGTAGGCGTTTATAGTATCTCTGTTTTAGGACTTAGTGTGCTCTGTCAATAGCAAATATTTGTAATGTGCTAATGATATGTTTGATGTTTTAAAAAGTGAGCTCAAGTGGTTTTAGCTAATTATTAAAGGAGAGTTCTGTTTAGAAGTGCACTTCCAAAGTATTCATAGTTAATATGCCTTTACTTCAACTTGCTGCATTTTTAACCTTCTAAAGATGATTACTTTAGGGAAACAGAAGTGATGCAAAGCTTTATCTACCCCTCAAGTTGTTGTTTTCATATCTTAATTTCTCTTTCAAAGCTTCGAGGGAAAGATGAATGACCTGTGCCATGACTTTTTTTGTTTCTTGAAAAGACTTTTTTCTTTACTTTTTATTGAATTTATTTGGGTGACACTGGTTAACAAAATTATACAGGTTTCAGGTACACAATTCCACAACATCATTTGTACACTGTATTGTGTGTTCACCACCCCAAGTCAAGTCTCCTTTCATCACCATTTATGCCCCCAATACCCTCCTTAAATTACCCCTACCCTTCTCTACCTAGCAGTCAACACACTGTTGTCCATGTCTATGAGTTTTATTGAAAAGACTTTCATTCAAAAGTGTGTTTTGTTCCTATATGTCAGGCAGTGTACCAAGAATTTAATAATATGCAAGACAGAATCCATAATTTTATTACCTTTAATGATGATTTTTGTTCTAGTAGTGTCCTTTGTTCTTTCATGGATTATCAATAACAACACTTAATTAGGATTGGATGAGTCTGGTTAGGTTTGTTATGGCTTTCATCAGGACAACACATCAGAAAGAAAGCATATTTCTGAAAGATCGTATCAAATTTACAGCTATTATATTTAAAGAGTCTTCAAATATTGTTTTATTAATATTTAAATCGGCTATTATTTCAGAGAGTCACCAAATGTTAAAATCTTATAGAACTTTTAAATGTTTGTTAGAATAATAATCTTCTCTAGCTTTGATTTCATCTGCATGGGAAGAACTTTATACCTGGTCTATGGAACCAGTATTTGAAATTCCTCTTCATTTTCTTCCTTCCCATTTATTCTTTCACTCACCAAAATATTGATTTGGATTTTGATTTCCTTACTGCCCTATTCAGAATTTTTCTTTCCTTTATCCTAATTTGGAACTTATTTTCTTTAGCAAGTCACAGCAAAGGCAGAAATGTATTGAGCCTTTTTGTCCTGCTCTCAAGCAGGGAGTTAGTGCTGCTTACTAAGATCCTGTGTGAGATGAATTTGAGATAATAGATAATAGGTAAGGAGTAGCATCCTGTCAGAAATAAAGACGTGTGAATTTAAGAAGCAGATTTGAAAAATAAGAGTATTTATAGTGTTGGTTGGAGCCACATAAGTATAGCAGAGCAAAAAGAACTGGGGTTAGGAACACTCACTTGGAGGAACAATAACCAATAAAGAAGAAAGAGAAAGGTGTAGATAGGAAGTATAAACACAGAAGTACAAAAGTTTATACTTCTTAAAGGAAAACCAAATGGCAAAATATTAAAAAAAACACACAAACTTGTTTAGTTTTTATTATATGCTTGTTTTATTATATTTATTAATATGCTGTAGTAGAGGACAAGAAGAAAGACCCTTGGTGGTTTTTTGGTTTTGTTGTTTTTAGTCGATCTTTACAGACAATGGAAGGGAGAAGAAGAGAAAGAGAAACATCAATGTGATAGTGACACATATATTGGCAGCCTCATGCACACTCACTCTCTGTGATTGAGGTTGCAACCGAGGCATTTGCCTGCCCGGGAATTGAACCTGCAATCTTTCGGTGCACAGGATGACACCTGCCAGGACAAGACCCTTGGTTTTAATATAAACATATCCTTGGAAACTCTGGGAGGAGTTTAAGCACAGTGGGGTTGTTTCTACTATCTTTTGTATTAAAATATACTCTAAAATTTAAAAAATTAAAACAACCACTTGATTTTTTTTTTTTTTTTTTATGATTCTGCAATTTGAGCCAGGTTCAACTGGGTGGTTTTACTAGTCTGTTAAAATTTATTAAATAGTCCAAGCTTGTTTAGGGCAGCATGGCTAGAACTCTGTAGTTAAATGTGGCAATTCCTGTAGTGTCTCTGAAATTTGGAATTGAAATCAATAAACAGCATGTATTAGTAAACTGACTCTATGGAGGGGAAAACTACCTGATTTATGATATTTGCCGATATCCATGGAGTAAATACTACCACTGTGGCTGCTTTCAGGCTACCCATGTGGAGTCGTTAAACTTGCAGTTTGGAAGAGATGCAGACATTCCACTCTTACCACCTAACACGAGCCAACCTCAGGCTCCAGACACTCCTGTAAAACATCCCTGTCCTAATTTCTTTTTTTTTCTTTCTTTCTTTTAAATATATTTTATTGATTTTTTACGGAGAGGAAGGGAGGGAGATAGAGAGCCAGAAACATCGACGAGAGAGAAACATCGATCAGCTGCCTCCTGCACATCTTCCCCTGGGGATGTGCCCGCAACCCAGGCACATGCCCTTGACCGGAATCGAACCCGGGACCCTTGAGTCCGCAGGCCGACGCTCTATCCACTGAGCCAAACCGGTTTCGGCCCTGTCCTAATTTCTTGATCTACAAAGAATTTGAGACAGGTTAACAAAATAAACACTTAATAAAATAGGGTTAAGAAAATGGGTGAAGGCTTTTATATAAAAGGAACATTAAATGAAAATAAAAATAAGAATAAAGTTAGTAATATATTAAATAAATGCCTATAATAAGGCTCTCAGTAGTTGCTGTAGGTGAACTAAGGATTTGCCTAAAGCAAAGAGGAAATGAGCAGTAATAGTGTTCACAGTGTACCTTGGGTAAAAACATATCAGCTGCTCAGGAGGAACAAACATTTCCTGATGATAGATCAGTGAACAATAAGAGGGACACTGCATCTTCAACAACATTCTTCCAAAAGTAGGAGGGCACCATTTGTTTAATACAAGGTGCTGACAGTGCCAAAATGGTTCAGAAAAGGTGTGTTGTTTTCTTCGAGAAAAAGGTAAAATTGGCAATTTGGGATCTATAATAGAAGAAGGAATTTGTATATTATTGCAAAGATATCTGGGAATCTCTGCTAGTATATTTAGGCTATTTAGAAAGCTGATTCCATCTGCATCAAGTATTTGCAGGAAGCTAATAAAATATTTACATGTTTCTAAATATGAGATAATTAGGGATTCAACAAAGACAGTTGCTGTGGATTTAGGTATAAAGAAAATTCATCACCCTAGCCGATTTGGCTCAGTAGATAGTGCGTTGGTTGGCCTGTGGACTGAAGGGTCCTGGGTTCTATTCAGGTCAAGGGCACGTACCTCAGTTGCAGGCTCCTCCCCGGTCCAGGCCCTGGTGGGGGCGCATGCAGGACTCACATTCATATTTCTCTGTCTTTCCCTCTCTCTGCCACTCTCTCTTAAAATCAATGGAAAAATATCCTCGGGTGAGGATAAAACAACAAAAAAAGAAAATTCATCTATGAGAAAGTTTGTATAAAAAGAAATAGCACGATCTAGTAATAGGCTTCCTGTTGAGAGCATTTCAAAATAACTACTATGAAATCATTCCTGTGTTCTTTTTTATTGCTAATGATAATTCATTTTTGATACTTTGGTGTCATTCTTTAATCAGTCCTTTAAATGTTGACTTTATGGAAGAGATTAGAGTAGGCTCTTAAAATTAAGAGTAAGATATGATCTCATCTTCAATTTTTGGTATCTTATTCTATGATCCTTTCCTCATTTCTTTCTGCCCATGCTATCCTTGGTTAGCCTCATCTTCATATTTCATGTTGTTGGTCTTGGACCCAACCCAATTATGATCTTAAGCAGGTTTTTTCCTGTTATGTTACTCCTCTGCAGTGGTGGCTGATCAGGCAGCCGTACTTGAAGGCGGGTTAGGAAAGAGGTTAGGGTCACCAGCAAGTGCGTAGAGTTCCTGTTCTCATCACTACCACTTCTGGGTCCTTCTCTTGTTCCTCCTGGGCACAGAGGTGCTTGCTGGTAGTAATTCCTCCCTGCCCACCTTTCCTTAGAACCCGTGCGTGCTGCTGCTTCCTACAAACGGCAGAATGAAGGAAAGCCAGCAAGAGGTGAGTTTTGAGCTAGATTTTTATTTGGGGTTGTGCAAGGGTGGGGGCTTGAATTGACTGAGGTTATAGAGGGAAAGTGTGTAACTGCTCCAGTAGTCTGCTGTTGGAACCAAAGTTGAACAGTAGACTCAGATAATAGGGGATACCGGGGTGAGGTGTCTGGACCAGCCATTCCTGTTCTGCTGTAGTTACCTCATAGAAGGTTGAGATCTATAGACTAGACAAGTCATTGACAGGTATAACAGTAGGTCCACGGGATTTCTTTTTACCTTTCCTGTGCCCTTTCTGCTACCTTCTATGTCATTCTTTATCTTTTGCTTCTTGCCTGTCCGTCCCTTTCATGCACTTGGTATATATGAATACATGTGGCTATATGCCAGGCCACCTGCCCTACCCTTCAGTGTTCCTTTGCTGCTGCACACTGACATTAGGTGATACCTGCTTAAATTAGCCCTTCTACAGCTACCATCAAGATAGATTGTAAGACTATACTTGGGCACCATAGTGCTGATGTCTTGTTTGTAAAGGAAATGCTAGGTAAGAAATTAACAAGTGCTTGTGAAAGTTTTTTCTGTGTCTAGCTGCTGTGTGCCAGAATTGAACCTACAATTATGCCTTTAATGTGCTGTGCTTGTTGGTTCAGCTCCTCATTTCCTTTCAAGGAATAGAATATCTGAATAGGATGAGGAGTTCGTTGCAGTCTCTGAGTAAAAAACCAAATGATCTTTTCACCAAATTTTTGAGTGCCTACTCTTTTACTTAAAGGACTCAAGCTAGGTAGGCCCTGAGTATTCAGAAGTAAATAAGCTATGATACTTGTTCCTCTAGGTGCTTTTGGTGTTGGGGCTAGGACTGACACTGTCGCAGTATCATGTGGAATTTACCATGTGCAATGGAAATACAGTAGCGAATGACTAAATAAGCCATGCTCTGAATTATTTGGAGGTGTAGTGATGCTTGGTATTTTATTTTTGATTTTTAAGGTCTACAAGAACTTTTAAACTTGCTTAGTGTGGAAACTTCTTAATGATACCACAAGTTAAAAGATTCTAGGGTTATGTCTTTTTTAAGACTGTTGGAGCTTCAGAGTTGGAATACTGTGCCTAGATCAGGAATGACATTTGTTGTGTCCTGTACATTTCTGGACGTTTAGCAGCATCCCTACCCTCTGTTTACTCTGTATCAGAGGCAACTCTCCCCTTGTGAAATAAAAAGTATCTTCACACATTGCCAAATGTCCCTAGAGAGGTGAGGTTGGGGCGGGGCGGGTGAGAGGGCTGAGAAAGCCTTTCTGGTCTGCAGGACATTAGGAAGAGATGGTACTCACTACTGTCCTAAGGGCCTCAGAAGCCTGTGTGTCTCCAGGCCCTTGCTTAGCTACCTCGGCCACGGCAGGAAGAGCCTAAGAGGCTTTTTTTTGACTGAAGCTGGCTTTGCCTCAGTTGCAAAGTTGTTTTGTCTCTGCCTCTGCTCTTGACTGCTTTCTTGGCCTTAATTCACTGTCCAACCTTGACCAGCTTCTGTGTCACTGCAAACTTGGTGTCACTTTTTCCTCTTCTTCATAATTTCACCAGTTTTTCTAGAAGTTAAGAGCAAGGGATTTATGTTATATTTGACACATAGAGACAATGTAATGAAAAATGTTTTTCTGTCAGAAACAACTCATTGTTATTTTTAAGATTATATTTAAACTCATTTTGTTGTTGTTGTTGTTGTTGTTAAACCGGCTAAATTAATATTATTTAAATCTATTTTCTGGCTAAAGTTTCTATAAAATTAATGGTATACATAGAGCACTGACATGGGTGTCTGAATTGACTAAAGATAAAGGTTAATGATTTTATCTCATTCAGATTTATTATTAACCATTTACCACATATCTAGGTACTCATTTATATCTGGTGCTGGATTAGCCCTCTAAATTATAGTTTTCTAGTTTTTAATTTTATTTTTTAGGCTGTCTAAACATTTCAGTAATACCTGCTAAATTTCTTACATGCTTCTCTCTGTGAGCTATTGCTTAATTAGCTAGTTCTCTTTGGTGGGATCTATACAATAACTCCCTTGGGTTTTTATTGTGATGTATTAAAAGTTAAGATTTTAAGAACTTGGAGGAGGAAGCAGTTATGATTTAAAATTTTTTATTTTTGCCTTTCTTGAGGTCTTCTCAGTGGTTCTGTGTTTGCAAACTGGCATTGGCGTGGCCTATACAGATGGCCAGATATGATGTCCACTGGTTCTAGGTTAATTAAAAATTTTGATGGTGCTCAGCCTCTTAAAAGGATCAGTAGATTTAAATATTAACTGGTTTAATTTAATAATGTAGTAGACGATTTCAGTACTACAATAAGTGTATACTCCCCTTGTTTATTCAAATACAAAAATCACATTAATTGAAAACAGATGAGTTAAAAAATTTCATTGTTCATTTTCTTATGTAGATAAAGAGAGACCTGTTCAGTCTTTGAAAACATCAAGAGACACTTCACCCTCAAGTTCTTCAACAGTTCCTTCATCAAAGGTTTGTTATATTTATAAAATCAATTTGAAGAGGAATTACAAAGTAAACGATATGGACTGTCTAGTACAGATGCTTTTATCCTTTATTGTCATAATGGGGGTAATTTGCATTTAAAAACTTGAATCGTAAGTAACCACAGCTTGAAAGTAGCTACCAGCGTGAATGAGCAGTTTTATCATAGATTTTTTTCACAGGTTATGCTAAAATTAGTATTTACTGCTGCCCTTGCTCATCTTGACCATAACCAGGTAGCAGTGAATGTTCAGTAGGGACATATTTGATGGACATCATGATGAAGTGGGATTTATTTCATAGATGAAAGGATGTTTCAACATCCATAAATCAATCCATGTGCTATACCACATGAACAAAATGAAGGATAAATATTATATGACCATATCAGTAGATGCAGAAAAGTCATTTGACAGAGTTCAACATCTATTCATCCACTCATAAAAATTCTGAACAAACAGTATAGAGGAAATATACCTTGCCATAATAAAGGTCATATGTGACAAGCCCATAGCTAACATTGTACTCAGTGGTGCAAAGCTAAAAGCATTTTCTAACATCAGGAACAAGATAGGGTGCCCACCCTCACCATGTTTAGTCAGCAGAGTGCCGGAAGTCCCAGCCAGAGCAGTTACGCAAGAAAAAGAAATCAAAGGCTTCCAATGGGAAAGGAAGAAGTAAAACTGTCTCTATTTGCAGCTAGCATAACGCAATAGAAAACTGTAAAGAATCTACATTAAAATTGTTAGAACTAATAAGTTCAGTTAAGGGGTCCGAGGGGCGCGTAGGGAATGCGCATCCGCGGGGCGGGCCTTCTCCGCTGACAGCTTGCGCGCATCGCGCCTGCGCGGGCTGAGGGCGGTGGCTCCGGCCCTCGCTCCTGCCATGCACCATCCGCCCCTCAGAGCTAGCGGTGTGGACACTGAACTCAGCGGAGAACGCGGCTGAGAAATGGAGAGGAAAATGAAACATTAAAAGTGGCAGCTATGTGGCAGATCCTAAAAGAACTATGGCAACATCAGGTGACTGCCCCGGAAGTGAATCTCAGGGGAGAGAAGAACCCGTGGAACACTGTGAACAGCACCTCCCAGAGGGTGTGCACCCCGAGGAGTTTGTGGCCATCGCGGACTATTCTGCCACCGATGAGACACAGAAACTTCACCTGGAGATGTTGACAGACCAGCCACGGACAACTAAATATCACCAGGTGATCCTGCAGAACAGGGCGTCCCTCAAAGACAAAGTGATTCTGGATGTCGGCTGTGGGACAGGGATCATCAGCCTCAATGGAGAGGAAAATGAAACATTAAAAGTGGCAGCTATGCAGCAGATCCTAAAAGAACTATGGCAACATCAGGTGACTGCCCCGGAAGTGAATCTCAGGGGAGAGAAGAACCCGTGGAACACTGTGAACAGCACCTCCCAGAGGGTGTGCACCCCGAGGAGTTTGTGGCCATCGCGGACTATTCTGCCACCGATGAGACACAGAAACTTCACCTGGAGATGTTGACAGACCAGCCACGGACAACTAAATATCACCAGGTGATCCTGCAGAACAGGGCGTCCCTCAAAGACAAAGTGATTCTGGATGTCGGCTGTGGGACAGGGATCATCAGCCTCTTCTGTGCACATTATGCGCAGCCCAGAGCAGTGTACGCGGTGGAGGCCAGCGAAATGGCCCAGCACACGGGGCAGCTGGTCATGCAGAATGGCTTCGCCGACATCATCACCGTGTTCCAGCAGAAGGTGGAGGACGTGGTGCTGCCGGAGAAGGTGGACGTGCTGGTGTCCGAGTGGATGGGGACCTGCCTGCTGTTTGAGTTCATGATTGAGTCCATCCTGTACGCCCGGGATGCATGGCTGAAGGAGGGTGGGATCATCTGGCCGACCACTGCCGCACTGCACCTCGTGCCCTGCAGTGCTGACGAAGACTACTGCAGCAAGGTTCTCTTCTGGGACAACGCCTATGAGTTCAACCTCAGCGCTCTCAAATCGTTAGCAATTAAGGAGTTTTTTTCGAAGCCCAAGTATAACCACATTTTGAAACCAGAAGACTGTCTGTCTGAGCCGTGCACTATATTACAGCTGGACATGAGAACGGTGCAGATCGCTGAACTGGAGACAATGAAAGGCGAGCTGTGCTTTGATATCAAGAAAGCCGGCGCACTGCATGGATTTACGGCCTGGTTCAGTGTCCGCTTTCAGAACCTGGAGGAGGAGGAGCCACAGCTGGTGCTGAACACGGGACCATTCCATCCCACCACCCACTGGAAGCAGGTGCTATTTATGATGGACGAGCCCGTCCCCGTCCACGCAGGGGATGTGCTCACAGGCTCGATTGTGCTGCAGAGAAACCCAGTGTGGAGGAGGCACATGTCCGTCGCTCTGAGCTGGTCCGTCACCTCCAGACAGGACCCCACGGTGCAGAGAGTTGGAGAAAAAGTCTTTCCGATCTGGAGATGACAGTTGAAGTTCTCTTTGGGAAGCAGTGTGAGCTTGCAGTCATAGGACGCGTGTCAGCCTTGTACTCCTGTGAAGTGACTGTTCGTGCATCATGTGTTACTGGTGTCCTTACTGCCCTCAGTTCATCCACTCACCATGCAGAACGTGTGGTTGCACAGAGCCGTGCAGGACCTGGGGTGGCAGTGCATGCGCTGGGCTCTGCATGAGGTAGTACCTTGTAGAGATGTCTTCCAAATAAATCGTGTTGGCACATAGTAAATCTCAATAAATATTTTTAAATAAACGAATGTTCGTGTAGAAAAAATAAAATAAAATAAATTCAGTTAAGTTGCAGGATACAAAATGACTATTGGAATAATAAGTTGCATTTCTGTACACCAAAAGGGACTATAAGAAAATGAAATTAAGATAATCCCATTTATAATAGCATAAAAAGAATGAAATACTTAGAAATAAATTTAACCAAGCAGATAAATGATCTATATATTGAAAATTATAAGACATGGATGAAAGAAATTGAAGAGGTAAAAAATAAATGGAAAGACATTTTGTGCTCATGGATTGGAAGAATTAATATTGTTAAAATGCCCATGCTATCCAAACAATCTACAGATTCAATGCAATTGCTATCAAAATTCCAATGTCCTTTTTCACAGAAATACGACAAACAATCCTAACATTTATATGGAGCTAAAAAAGACCCCAAGTACCCAAAGTGATCTTGAGAAAAAAGAACAAGGCTGGCGGCATCACAGTTACTGACTTTAAACTATATTACAAAATTATAATAAAACAGTATGGTATTAGCATAAAAACTGACATATCGATTAATGGAGCAGAATAGAGACTCAGAAATAAACCCATGCATATATGGTCAATTAATTTATAACAAGGAACCAAGACTATACAATGGGGAGAGAACCGTCTCTTCCATAAAGCCTGTTGGGAAAACTGGGTAGCCACATACAAAAGAACAAATTGTATCCCCATTTTACACTATAAGTGAAAATCCACTGGAAGTGGATTAAAGACAAAACCTTAGAAGTCCTAGAAGAAAACTTAGGATAAGCTTGACATTGGTCTTAGCAGTGATTTTTAAAATTTGACACCAAAAGCAAGGCGGGGGGTGGGGGTGGGGCAAAAAAATAAACTATTGGGACTACATCAAATTACGTTTCTGTACATAAAAGAAAAACCATCAACAAAATGAAAAGGCAACTTACAGAATGGGAGAAAATATTTTCAAATCAAATATCTGATAAGGGATTAATACCCCAAATATATAAAGGACTTATATAACTCAATAGGAGAAAAACAAAAATTCTATTAAAAAATGTTCAGAGAAACTGAGTAGACATTTTTCCAGAGAAGGTATACAAATGACCAACTGGTACATGAAAAGGTTGCCAACATCACTAATCACTAAGGAAATGTAAATCAAAACTACAATGAGAAGTCACCTCAAACCTGTTAGAATGGCTGTCATTAAAAAGATAAGAGGTAAGTGTTGAGGAAGGTGTGTAGATAAGGGAACCTTTGTACGTATACTGTTGGAGGGAATGTAAGTTGGTGTAGCCATTATGGAAAACAGTATGGAGGCTCCTTAAAAATTAAAAAATAGAGCAACCATGTGATCCAGCTATCCCACGTCTGGGTATATACCCAAAGGAAATGAAAATAGGATCTTGAAGGGATAACTGCACTCCCATGTTCATTGCAGCATTATTTACAATAGCTAAGACCTTAGTGTCCCACAGCGGATAAATGGATAAAGAAGTTGTGGTGTATGCACACAATGGGATATTATTCAATCATGAGAAAGAGACAGCTTGCCTTTTACAACATGGATGGACCTTGAGGGCATTATGCTAGGTGAAATAGAGAAAGACAGTACTGTATGATCTTACTTATACGTGGAATCTAAAAATGCAGAATTTACAGAAACATTGATGAGAAAGGTAATTACTAGGGGATGGGGGTGGTGAGTGGGGGAAAAGAAGAGATGTTGGTCACAGTTCTGGGGATCTAATGTACAGCATAGTGATTATAGTCAATAATAATATATCATATACTTGAAAGTTGCTAAGAGATCTTGAATGTTCTCACCACAAAAAAGAAATAGTAATTATGTGAGGTGACGCAGGTGTTCAAGTAACACTATGGTTGTAATTATCTTGCAATTTTAAAATGTAGTTATATATCTCCATTTTATAGAAAAGGCTCAGAAGTTAATTTTCTCAAGGACATAACTACTCTTCACTACATCATTCTTCCAGTTTGTACCTTTGCAGCATCCTAAAACGTGTTGAAAAGATGATTTTTGGTTCTAATCTTCCAAACTTAAAAATTTTGAGGTGTTGTTTTTTCTATCCTCTATAGTTAGAGATTCTCTTCACCAACCTCACACTCTTTTACTGTTGTTACATCTCTTCTTTCCTTCTTTTTATTTTTCTGTCTTTGGTACATTTTGATTTTCAGCAAGAGTAGGTATCACAAGAGTAGATACAGTTTATGCTACCGTTAAAGTGACAGTGCTTCTCTGCATAAAGGAAAAGAAAATGGTGTTTTAGTGACAACTTACATCTTTAGAGCTTTCCTAGAAATCAGGATTTTAGAATGCTGGGTTTTGAATAGGAAAGACTGATTCAGTGGTTCTCAACCTTCCTAATGCCACGACCCTTTAATACAGTTCCTCATGTTGTTGTGACCCCCCCCCCACCATAAAATTATTTTCGTTGTTACTTCATAACTGTAATTTTGCTATGTTATGAATTTTAATGTAAATATCTGATATGCAGGTTGTATTTGCAGGGGTTGCGACCCACAGGTTGAGAACCGCTGGATTAGATTTTCTTTTTCTGTCTTGCCTTGTTAAGGTGCATTACCCACCTGAAAGACCAGCTTGTTTTTCTTGTCAGGTAGAAGTGAAAGAGGAGCAAATAGTACTTGCCCATCTAAGTCACTGTGGATATTTAAATTATTATACATGAAATACTCATTTACCTTGGACTATGATGCCATGAAAAAACAAGTTACAACATAAAATTTTGTGGCACATGTTAAAATATATTTAGTGGGAAATGATAATGGATTTTAGATATTTTTGTCTGACAGTTTATGTAGATTGTTGGCATTTTTGTCTTAAGGTGGAATCAGAATTTCAGATTTTAGATCTAGAATCATTTTATGTATTTGGAAAGTGCACCTTCCTTTGTCTTTTGCCCAGAGTTACATGGTAGCTCTGGCGAGCTCTGTTACCTAGATTTCCTGATTTAGTTGGAGGACTTTTTCTTTTCAATAGTATGGCTGCTCTCATGTAGGAGGTCAAAGGCCTTTGTTTCAGAATTTGTTTTCTGCTTTTAGAACTTAGTTTCAAATGGATTTTTTTAAATGGACAAATTTAATGACAGATGAGTAGAGGATTGAGTTATAGAAGATTTTGCTTCCTTTATTACTAGAGATAACTTACAATGTTTGTTTCGTTTCTGCTCTATAAAACAGATACCCCAAAAAGTGAGGTGTAATTTTTTTCTTTGATACATTTGTGTGCTGTCCTCTTAATTTTTAAAAAAACGTTTAAATTCTATTGCTAAGTAATAGTAAAGGAATTACTTATACATTTTAACTTTATGTATGGGTAGGTCTTTGGACTTAGATATTTAGGCTTCTTCAATAACCGTGGAATCCCGCCACATATCTCCAGTAAACATTACAGATGGCAAGCCAGTGGGTTGGTGAATTGAATAAGCTATGGAAGGAGGTCAAGGGCCTTGTTGTACTGGAAGACCTAGTTTTAAATTCCAGCTCAGGATTTACTAGTAACTGGCAAATGACTGTTCTTTTGTGTTTGTTTGTTTTTTTTGACATTCAGTTTCTTGGTTTATAAATTGGGGTAATGCAGTCTACCCTAGCCATCTTCATGGAATACCATTTAATTAAATTCCATCTTCATGGAATACCATTTAATTAAAATACTTTTTCTTGCCGCAACCGATTTGGCTCAGTGGATAGAGCGTCAGCCTGCGGACTGAAGGGTCCCGGGTTCGATTCCGGTCAAGGGCATGTACCTGGGTTGCGGGCACATCCCCAGTGGGGGGTGTGCAGGAGGTAGCTGATCGGTGTTTCTCTCTCATCGATGTTTCTGACTCTCTCTCTCTCCCTTCCTCTCTGTAAAAAATCAATAAAATATATTTTAAAAAAATGCTTTTTCTTTTGGTTTACATATACAAGTACTTTATAAGTGGTAGTATACTATAACATAGGGATTACTGGCCCTATGATCCAGAGGAGATATATTTGGAACCAATGATGTGACTTTAAAGAAGAGGTGGGGATAAGATTAGGGGTGAAGGGCCTAATTGATGAAAATGTATGCTAATAAAATAGAATGGAATCAGTTACCATAAGGGCCTAAGGAAAGAATTGTTCTAATTTTTGCCTTACAATTTTACATCTTATTCTGTAACATAGGTCTGTAAAAAGTATTAGGAGAATCATATGTAATCCAGGAAAAACATTTTATGTTCTTCATTTTTATATTGAGCACATGGAGTGATCAATTTTCAAATATATTTTAGTTATTATAACAGATTTATAACAATGAATATGGAAAAGAAAGAAAAACTAGACTCCTAAGCATTATGCTATATGCTTTCAGGTCTGTTACCTCTTTTGATTCTTACAAGTACTTTGTAAAACAGTGAATATTGTTAAATTTTTTAAAAATTTCAAATTATAGTTAACACTAGTAGCCCAGTGCACGAAGTTCATGCACATTAAAAGGGAATTAATTGCCCTAACTGGTTTGGCTCAGTGGATAGAGCATCGACCTGCGGACTCAAGGGTCCTAGGTTCGATTCCGATCAAGGGCATGCAACTTGGTTGCGGGCACATCCCCAGTGGGGAGTGTGCAGGAGGCAGCTGATCGATGTTTCTATCTTTCCCTTTCCCTTCCTTTCTCTCTAAAATAAATAAAAAGAACAACAAAAAGAATCTCTTTAAAAAATGAACTTTAAGTTTATTGATTTTGTGTAAAGAGTAAGACTTATATAACTTATTCCAAATTATAAAAATAGCATATCTGGACTTTTCTGTTGCACTAATTAGAAATTTACCGTGATGAGATTTGGCATTATTTATTTCATTGAATATAATTGCAGATAGAAAGTTGAAATCCATATGATGTCTTAATATGTTCTAAATACTATTAGTATATTAGTTCATTGTCAGTGTCTTTTGTTCCTTAGATGAATTTCTGAAGTTTTATGTAAATGGAATTAAAAGGCTAATCTATATGTCCCAAATGAATTGCTACTTGAATTCAATGTTGAATATTTTTGAAAAAGCAAATAAAGAATGTACTTGTTCTCTAGATGTATTTGAAGGCTTCTGTGATTTTAAGTGTAAGTGGGGTGTACTTCTTGATGTATTTGAAGTTTAAAAGCCCTCGAGAATTGTAGCAGAACTGTTCTTTTATTTTTATTAGGTGTTAGACAAACCCAGTAAGCTAACTCAAAAGGAACTTGCTGAGGCTGCAAGCAAGTGGGCTGCTGAGAAGCTAGAGAAGGCAGATGAAAGTAACTTACCTGAAATTTCTGAGTATGAGGTAAGGCATCATTTCTCCTTTATGTTTCCCATCTGAGAGTTTTAGTCAAGATTTTAAATTATGGGCAGAAAATATTTGATTCTAGTATTTTAAAATATATTTGGGGAAACTATTCTTATGTATTATTAAAATTTATCACATATGGTAATAGTATGAATATGAATGACTGAATTCAACAACTATACTGTCAACGTCTCCAATAGTTTAGAATAATATAAATATGGAATAAAATGAAAATGTACTATCTATACTTCGCTGTTAAAGGTATCTCTAGAAATCATGCTAAGCCCCTAGTGATAAAACAGTGAATTCAGAACAGAAATCTAATTAGGCCTTGGGTCTTGGGCTATATTTATGTTGTATATTCTAGTTTATACAAATTAATCTCATAAATATCCCAAGAAATGAAATTATGCATTGTTTGCACTACCTATGACTTTGATGAGTCTTAAGTACCAAAAGGTGAGAGCATTTTTGGATCCTTAGAATATTGTTTTGAAATGTTTGTGTTATATTTGAAAATGAACTGAAAAATTTCTCTATAGCTTATAACATCTCTAATAGGGAAATATAGATTTTTATGGGCAAAATTAAGCATTTTAGATTCAAGATTTGGTGCTTGAGGAATTATTTTAGTAGGCAGAAAATATAGAAATTTTTGTACTATGACAAATTATGTTTCTTTGAAGGAGATTTGTGGCTTTTCAGTATGTTTTGTACGCCTTTCACAGAATGTTCTTTGATAAAAAGGCTCAAGCATTGGAATTCTATATTCTATATACCTACATACATCTTCATAAACTATGAAAAGATCCTTTCCAAAATAACTAATATACACTGTTCCAAAAAGTACAAACCTGTACAGACCCTACCTGTCCTTATGCAAATGGAGACTTTCTTTTATCTGCCATTTAGATAGCAAATATTCTTAATTAGGTAAAGGTTTTCTCTTTATTGTAGCTGTAAAATAGATTTTATTTTCTTTCTGTAAAATAGATATTTATACATATTCTTGAATACATTTTTCAAAAACATCAAGCTGTCTGTCCATCTTTGGTACCTTTCAAATACTATTTAAATGCACAAACAATACAGTGATACATTTAATTGGTTAATTTTGCTTATTTCCTTTGCTAATTTAGAATAATGATTTTTATATTAGTAACAGATATAAATACTTCAAAATTGCTGTTTTAGAGAACTGATAATTTTTTTCAGGGTTAAGTAAAACACCTCCAAACACAATACATTGTTGTTTGTTAAATACTTTATTTTCAATTAGCAAGGCTTTATTAAGACACTAGGGGCCCGGTGCACGAAATTCATGCACTGGGTGTGTGTGTGTGTGTGTGTGTGTGTGTGTGTGTGTGTGTGTGTCGGGGGGAGTGTCCCTCAGCCCAACCTGCACCCTCTCACATACTGGGAGCCCTCAGGAGTTGACCCCCATCACCCTCCAATCGCAGGATCGGCCCCTTGCCCAGGCCTGACTCCTCCGCCAGGGGTGTCAGGCCTG